CTGGAGCCAGCAGTCAGACTAGAAGGCCCAGAAGACCCCTTCTGACTTGCTTTGTTTCTACATTTCTATGTTCTTATGTAGAGAGTAAGGCATTCCCTAAGATAACATACCACAGACTATATGATTGCAGACTGGATGAGTAACAACATATCCATCAGTATGCATGCCTCTACAGGGATCATCCAAGATGACATGGCTGCCTCATGACATGTATAAGCATATCACAATGGCCAGAAATATAGTGACAGACAGGCAGATGGATGCTATTTGAATGCTTGTAGATTCACTTGAGTCTGCCATACTTGTGCCTCCAAGTCCAAAGGTATTTCAAGCTTTCCCCTACGGGCCACAGCAACATTTTCTGGCTCCATACCTCTCTCCACACACATACTGCGATGTTGCCACCTCCATCATACTGGCTCCAGCCATCAGCACTGGCTCCTTGCTTAACCGAATTCACAGGGGGACCATGCATTCCATTTGGGCCTTCTCAACCAGTGTTCTCACAGCTGCCTATTGCTGAACCACAGGGTCCTTTGGAAAGAACCAAGCCTTTGCTTATAGAACCACCATAAGGCAAGGAAAAAGAGGCTCCATTATAAAGATAAAGTAGCAGTGCCAATGTGTGTCCCAACAATCAGCAAAGGAGAAGGGAGTAGGAGAGAATAGCAGCAATTAGTATAAGAAATCTCTATAACAGATCGTTTTAACTGAAAGACAGGCATTGTCCCAGAAGTAATGGTGATGTGTTATAACTTTAATAACATTTGCAAGATGAAGGGAGATGTTTTACTCAAAGAAAACCCAGAACTGGCTAGACCGGTGAAATAATGATGTGGTTTTGAAAACCCAACATAGCAGGATGAAATAGGGAATGACAGAGAGAGTGGCAGACAGAGAAGCTCTACCTATCTGATAGCCAAGAAAAAAATAAGGTGAGGATAATGGAAAGCAAGAATGTTATCAGTGTCTGCCACAAGGAGAATGATGGTTGGTGGGGGAAGGGGCATAAGTGAAAGCAGCTATGCAGAAAGCAGGATTTCAGTGGGAAAGGCATTGATAATTACTTTCACTAACATCTTAATCCAGATTTGATTGTAAGGTGGGATGGTGGGAAGACCTACAAGAATCAAGACAGGGAGAGAGGAAAACATGCCCTGGAACATTGTGGACTAATTAGGAAGAGGCAAATTATGTAAGAATGAATGGTGAATCATGGAACGGGATTTTGTGCACAATGGCTGCTGGAATATATGCCAACAGCTGGAGATAGGAGTAGTGGTAGGGGTACAAAATCATGATAATAAGCTGACAACTTGAGCAACTGTTGTAGTAACCATTCAGTATGGTTTGTTGTGCAGTGTGAACCTGCCCACTGCCAAGTATTAGGAAGAATGCTAACTCTCCATGGCACAGATAAAGCCCAGGCTTCCTAGCATTCCTGCTGTTATCCCCAGTCTGAGATAGGGGATAACAGCAAGGGTTCTGCTGATGGCATTCATCAGCAAGGGAATCTCCAATGTTATATCAGATCTCACAGTGGAGATGACAAGTGAGAATGTCCTCCAAGAAGATTCGTCCAGGGGCATGGCCGGGAATCCCTACAGGAACTCGAGTGCTATGTGCTCCCAGCCCCTTTGCAGGCCTGGAACACCTGGATTCCACCAGAGAACTGCACCTGCTGGCCAGATCCTCCATCTCCCAAGGGAGGGGTGAGAGCCAGTCCTTGGGCTTGTGCCAGCAGAGATGTGTACACACATATGCGGATGCAGATACAGCCACAGGTGGGGCCTGGCCCTTGCAGGCAGGCAGGCAGGCAGGCAGGCAGGGAAAAGTGCCACCGAGACTATTTAGCCCATGCAGCCTGGGGGCAGGCCCTCTCCTGCCAGCTCACTTGTGCCATCTGACACTGCCTGCTCCCAGGGCCAAGTGCCACTGGGCTAGTTAGTGGTGCACTGCCCATTTGATGGCTGTTGGGGCAGGAGATTCTCTGTGTGTGGGGTGGGGGTTGTTTCTCTCTCTCTCTCTCTCTCTCTTTTCCTTCCCTTCCCCCTGCTTTCTCTTTTCCCTTGTGGTTGAAAGATAGATGAAGATATTGTAAGTGTGGAAGGTTTGTGTAGTGTTGGGTTAGTTGGGGATTGTTCAACTTGGAGTGGGGCTGATGATGTGGACGTGGTGCTTGGACAAGTCCAGCCATCCATGTGCCTTCTTGACTCTTGCCCTTCATGACTTATTGGGAGATCTAGGGAAGGGGTCAATACCTGGGTCCAGGAGGCTGTGGTGCCAGCCCCTTTAAAGGCAGTGGTGGTAACACCACTCCTAAAGAAGCCAGGCCTGCACCCAGGTGATGTGAATGATTTTAGACCAATAGCCAATATGCCCTTCCTGGTCAGGGTGATCAAGTGATTGGTGAGCTAGCAGCTCCAGGCACTTTTGGAGGAAATTGCAGACAGCAGAGGAAGCCCATGTGGCTCCACAAAAGTTTAAGTGACAGCGTGAAAGAAAAAAAAGATCATGTACAGGAAGTGGAAACAAGGCCAGGCCATGAAAGAATATAAACAAGTAACAAGGAATTTCAAGGATAGCATCAGGAAGGCTAAAGCAGGAAATGAACTGAGAATAGCAAAGGGATGCTAAGCACAAGAAAGCCTTCCTCGGAGACATCCAGAACAAAAGACATGAAAAAGAGAAGGGTGTTCAGCTACTTTAAGTGGATGGCAGATGACAAAGAAAAGGCAGAGGCATTCAATTCCTGCTTGGCCTCAGTCTTCTCCCACAAGAAAACCTGCAATCAAGAAGTACAAGCTGGAAGTGAGAGATGACAGCCCAAGACTGACAGAGAAATGGTCAAGGAATACCTAAGTCAGGGGTCCTCAAACTTTTCCACCAGGGGGCCAGTTGAAAGGTCCCAGTGCTGGGCGTGGGCAGGAAAGGTGGTGCTGGTGGTGCGCATGGGCCGGGGCAGCATGTGCGGGTGCACGCATCGAGGCGGGGGCGGGGTGCAAGGCGAGGCACGGGTGGACGTAGCGAGGGGAGGCGAGGCGAGGCGAGGCAAGGCAGGGGCGGGCACATGCCGCGAGGCAGGTGCACGAGGCAGTGGCTTGCTCACTTGGAGATTGTTTTCTCTGAGTGAGCAAACTGCTGCCTCCCCATGTGTGGGGCAAGGTGGGCAGCAGTGGGCATGCACTCAGGCGGGCACATGCAGCGGGTCCAAATTGGCATGGCGGGCTGGATAAATCGGCATGGTGGGCCAGATCCGGCCCCCAGGCCATGGTTTGAGGACCCATGACCTACGTGGAATAAACACTTTCAAATCTCCAGGGTCTGATGAACTCCATCCCAGAGTCATAAAAGAGCTAGCAGAGGAACTCTCAGAACCACTGGATATCATCTTCGATAAATCTTGGAAATCAGAAGTGCTTGATGACTGGAGAAGGGCTAATGTTGTCCCTATCTTCAAAAAGGGGAAAAAAGATGAACCTGGGAACTATAAACCAGGTAGTCTGACATCAATCACTGGAAAAATTCTGGAACAAATTATTAAAAAATCCATCTGCAAGCATCTTGAAGAAAATGCAGTGATTAATAGAAGGCAACATGGATTTATCAAAAATAAATCCTGTCAGACTAATTTAATCTCATTTTTTTTGGCTGGGCAACCTCCCAAATGGACAGAGGGAACACTGTGGACATAATCTACCTAGACTTTAGCAAAGCTTTCAAAATAGTGTCACATGACATTCTAATTAGCAAAAACAGGCCTAGATGGAAAAACAATTAGGTGGATCCAAAATTGGCTGCTAAATCGGATACAAAGAGTGCTCATCAGTGGCACCTTCTGAAATTGGATCTGGACTGTTCTAGTGGCCAGAACCAGAACAACCAGCACCATATTTGCAGGATTGGTCCCAGGCCCTGCTGGAGCTTTCAGTCTACTGATGAGTGCCACCTGAGAGTCCTGTGGGGAAGAGCCATTTAAGAGCAAGCTCTTCCTTCCTTAATTGGCCTCAGTAATGCAGGTTTACCTGTAGCTGCAGTGCCTGTACATTGCCTGACTAAGCCTGGTTCCTGCTGTGTATCTTACATCGTACTATGTGTCATACCTTCCCATGTTTCCTTTTTGTTGTTCTTCCCTCTTGCCTGACCTGCATGCTGCCTTGCTGTTTGTGTCCTGCTATGCCATTTATGTATGCCGTGTATCCTACCCTGTTGTGTTGTCTCAGCAGTGAAGGTTTTCCTACTAGCTGTGGTTCAGCTCCTGCATCTTGCCTGGACCTTGCTGCATTTGGTTCCTGCTGTATTCTGCATCTCACAATGTATCTTTCCTTGTTGTGTACCCTGCCATGCCATAAATCCTGTCTGATCCTTGACATGTGTCCTGCCCTATTATCCTGTCAAAGGTACATGCACCTCTGTTTATTCTCCTGGTTCCTGACCCTTGGTTTATTCCTTGACCATGTCCTTGTTCTGACCTGATGCATACTTCTGGTTCCTGACCTCAGAATGTACCATAATTCTGATTTGGACTTGCCATTAAACCCTGCTTTTGGACTCTGGCTTGCCTAAAGTTCTATTGCCCTGGTCCTGGTGCCTCTGTTACTGTTGTCTTGTTTCTGGCTGCCCATTTCCTGGCCCTGGTACCTTATGGTACCTTGACATTCCCTAAAGTACATCGTTAAGCATGTATTCATTTCAGAAGATCTTTGGATAAATTACTTCATACTTGATTTTCAATTTTCAAAGCACCAATTAAGACTCATTTCCATTCACTTTTTACCATGATGTAGCATTAGCATTCCTACAGAATTCATATAAGCTGCTCGATCATAGCTACTATTTCTAAAAGGTACACTGTAATTGTAAACTGCAACCAAGATCCACAGGAGATGGAAGGATATTATGACACATCCCATGGCAAATCAACATATGATTGATATGCCTATCAATCAACTGACCCAGATATCTTTCAATATAAATTATAAGATAGTTGTTTCTCTCACCTGAGCTATCAAATCACCATTTTCAGCATGGATCATGATTACAGCTCCAAGACTTTTCAGGAAAGTAAAGGCTTCATAAAGCTATTTACAGTACAGAGAGAAGGAGGAAAATATCTGTAATGATAACCTATTAGTTATTTTAGAACTTTACTACACAAGACTGTCCAGTGGCTGTTAATTCACTGTATCTATTTTCAGTTTCCTCAAAGAAATGAAATGTAAGCATTGCATGAGGAGTGTTTTGTTCCCTGATTTTCTGCTGTATAAGCTCTAGGGGCATTATAGTAAAGTGGAACAATGCAAATATACAAAAAAGCACTTTCACTTTCACATGCTGCATTTTCCCTGTTCTAAAAAAATTCACTGAAAGCATTGGTTACAAAAATGGTGTATGTACCTATACTGTCTCATAGTAGAGGCAGAAGTATGAAATCAACTGTTTCATTTCCAATTGTTTTCCTAATTATGTTGAATAGAGTTTGACTTTTCTACAGCAACCACCCTAGATCAACATCTTCATTGAGTTGTCCACCACAATCCCAAGATCTGTTTCTTGGTCAGTCACTGCTAGTTCATGTGATGCTGCATTTTCTCTTCCCAAGTGCAGTACTTTACATTAGCTTAAATTGAATTACATCAACTGTTTGATGCCTATTATCCCAATTTGTTGGAGAGAAGTTTCTAGACTCCCTTTTGTTTTAACTACCCCAATTAATGTGTTATTAGATAACTTTGCTACCTCACCAGTCTCTCCTAATTCCAAATCTTTTATGAAGAAATTGAAAAGCACTGGTTCTAGTGCAGATCTTTGTGGAATCTCACAGTATGCATTGCTCCACTGGGAGAATTTACAGTTTGTTCTTCCTCTCCATTTTCTGTTCTTTAAACAGTTAACAATCCATAAAATGACCTCTACGTTATCCCATGACTGCTAAGTTTGCTTAGGAATCTTTGCTGAGAGACTTTGGCAAAAGTCATTTTTGCAGTCCAGTAAACAATACCTACCAGATTACTCAATCAAGGTTTATTAACATGCTCAAAGAGAGAATGGTAGTGAACAAAGAATGCTAATGAGACAAGAACTTACCCGTGCACAAGTTGATTCTTTCTCAGCAGGATTCATCCTTCTATATGCTTGCAGACTTAATGTTTAAAAATAAATTGTTTTTCCCAGAAATAACATTATACTAACCCTGCTGTAATTTTCTGGAGCCCCTCAAATACATTTTAAAAAATTCGTCTTACACTGGCCATTCTCCAGTCCCTTGGTACAGAAGCTAATCTTAAGGACATATCACATATTTTTGTTAGAAGATCATCAGTTTCACATTTAAGTTTAAGCACTTCAGAACAGATACCATCGGAGCCTGGTGATTATTATCTCCCCGTCTGTTAACAAGGTTCCTCATTTGTTACCACTATTTGCTTCATACTCCCTTTCAGAAAACATTAGCTCATGCACAAGTATTTGTCTTACATCACATGCAGTGAAGACAAGCAAAAAGAATTCATGCACTTTCTTTTCAGTTGATCCCCCTCAGCCTACTTAAACTGCATTGTCATCCAACAGTCCATCTGCCTATCTAGATGGTTTTCTACCTCTGATACATATTTAAACACTTATTATTAGCCTTTATATCATTAGTGATACACTCCTAAAATTGTGTTTTTGTTGTTTTTGCATCTTTTATTGTTTGTTTGCATTTCCTTTATGTAGATTGTGTATTTTTGTTCTCATTAAGGCAATATTTCCATTTTTTTTGAAGAAAGCCTTCTTTTCTCTAACAACTTCCTTGATACTGCTTGTTAACTACACCTGTGAACTTCTTGTACTTAAACCTTTCCCAAATATATGGTATATTTTGAAGGTATGCTCCCCTTGACTCTCCTTTTCAAGTCACCTTTTACCACTTCCTTAGAGAATTTTCTCTTTTGTAATTAAATATGACTGTGTTGTGCTTCCTTGACCATTTCCTACTCTATATTCCAATACATGTTTAATATATATTTATCTGATAGCACTTTGGGCAGTGTCTCCAAATGTTTCAGTAACACAGACATTTCACACTAGGTCCTGGATGAAGCCACTTAAGATTGAATCTTAAGCTCCTCTCTCGTCACTTCCATAACCAATTGTTCCAGGGCACAGTGATTTAAGGCTCTAAGAAATTTAAGCACCTTGTCATGATTTGAACATTTATTTATTCAGCCCATGTGGGGAAACTGAAATCCATTATTAGAACACTCCTCATTAAGAAGTCTTTCTGATTTCCATCTGATATGGGGAATGACAATGTCCCCAGTAGTAAATTATTTTTTTATGTCCTGATACTGTCACCCATAGCATTTTTTCTGGAGGAGTCTGTACCTTTTAGGTTTAGTAGTCTGCTGGATTCTATACCCTTTGAGAGTTTATATCCAGAAATCACCAAACTCCACCGATCCTCTCTGTTCCACAAGATTTTCTTTACTATATCTAAGTCCTCCTTTAAAACCAGGCACCCCAATTCTCCCATTTCAGGTAAGAAATTTCCAGAATTAGCATAGAAACACCTATGCATGGTGTGTCTCTCCAGTTGACTGGCTTGGGCGTCTATTCCTATTGTTTTTAAGTCTCCTTGATTGACTATCATGTTTCACCATATGCTCATGACCAATTTTCTCCATGGAAAACCTCCTAGAAATGATCCAAATCAATCTAGATGTTTCCAGTTCCTGTCAGCTTTCCCATAGGGTTCAGTTTAAAAGTCTTCTGCTATCTTTTGTAAGTGCCAGAAGTGCTGCTAAGTTCTGGTTGAATCCATCCCTCCTCCACAGGCCTTATTTGTTTTAAATGTTACCCAGTGCCTAACACATCTGAATCCTTCCTACCTACACCACCATTTAATCCATGCATCAGTGCTATCAGTTGATCTGCCTAGTTGTCCCTGAGCATGGAACATGTAGCATTTCAGATAAAGCCATCTTGGTGGCCCTGGATTTCAACCTTCACCCTAAACAAGTTTGCACTTTTTGTGTAACAACTTCTTCCTGTGGAACACACACTTTGATTCTACTTATGATGAGTCCTTGTGCATATAGTTAGCTGCTCTGCATCCCCAGCTCCAGGACTGGGTGCTTCTTTGACTAGCTTTCCTCATGACACAAAGTGTAAATCTTTATGAATTATATTTCATATTCAGTAATTAGTTCTTTAAAATGCTTTAAGTCCTCCATTTAGACTGAGTAGGCAAGTAGCTAGAAATCAAGTGCAGTTTTCAACATGTACACCTACACGGAAACATTTTAAAAGGCCAAATTAGGTGCAGGACCAAATGTATCATACTGACATCACTCTTCCCATTCTAGCTTTAACACTCTGAAAAATAACCCCAATTCTACTATTATACCTCCAAAGTTCCTTTTGGTGCCAATTAAATTTAAAAAGAAACTGATGTGCTTTGGGGCGACTTTTTAAAGATTGCATCTAGTTACTCAACCTAATTAGTCTTCAGAATGAATTTAAAAGAAGAAATTTGGACTTTTTTTACTATTTAATAGAGTTCCATACTTCATTAGATTCCTAAATTACAACTCCTAATACCAAACATTTGTTCCAAGAAGAAGGAAAAACAAAATTGAACATACATTAAATGCACAAAACATTTAGTGTGCCTAGTTTTTGTTCTTTAGGAAGCCTGTTTGAATAAGGAATGGAGTAACAGCACTTTAGATCACAGAGCATAAGGAGGCAAATGAAACCTCTCCTGTGTCCTGTAGAAAATTTCTCCTCTGCTCCTGCTGCTATTAGCCTCAGAAGGAAGCTTCTCTTCGTACCAAACAAAAGCACTGCTGCAAGCATTAAGAGTAGCTTTAACAGGGAGCCAGCGAGGCAGGGGATGTAAGGAAAGGGTCTGCCCTGTCTTCTCTGCAATGCCATAGCTCAGGCTCCAGAAGTATTTAAAAACACAAAAACTGTGCACATTAAATACTTACATGCATTTAATGCCATGTGTAGTCTGCTCCAGGCAACCTCTTATCATACTGTGATGCTGTTCTTTAAGAATAATATTCTAGGGAAACAAAATGTATCAATGCTGTGTTAAGGTGGAGGGAAGCACACAATAATCACCAGGAGCTCATCATGAATTTACTGGAAATATGTCCAAAGATAAGTTTTTAAAATGCCATACTTAGTAGTATGCAGCCCTCTTAGGTTCAATAAGTTTTCGAAGTGACAGCTGTATATGCTCTAAGCATGTGAAGATTCATCACAAAACCTTGAGGCAATAATTATCAAAAGCTTCAGAATTCAAAAAGTACATCTGAATTTGTATTCTCTAAAACCCTTGCCCATATTTTATGTTTTAGTGTAATATTTACAATAATATTTATCAATTTCAATTCAATTTCAAAAGATAAATTCAACTGAACTTCAAAATATAACCCAAATAATATAATGAGCTATAACTTCAATACTTTTAATTTCAAGACAAGGGTAAAACATAACTTATACTTAATTTAGAAGCATGTATCGTACTTAGAAAAACTACTATACTGAGATGCTGAGATCTGTCAAGAAGAAAGATATGTGGTTAATTACCTGGCTGTCAGTCAGCTGGTAGAGATGTTTGTAAACCATGTAAACTTGAAAGGAATTAACACCTGTTTACAGAAAAAATGAATTGATGCAAAATAAGAGTTAATATATACCCAAAGTTAAAGGTTAAGCTATGCAAAAGATGAACCAATGTGTGTCCATTTTTATCCTGAAAATCTCCCTCACATATTAGATTTACAATACTGCTTCCCAACTTCTCTGCCACAAATATGCCTTGTCAGCAAGCCCATATCCCCACTGGACAAAATGCATAATGAAACCAGTATCTCATTTTCATGCAAAGAAACTATCTAAAGCCCATCTCTGCCATACTGTACAAGGAAAAAGCATTCTAGTCATTATCAGATTAAGACATTTTATTACGTATATGTCACATTAGCATCTGGGATGCAGACTTTAACAAGTTGAAGCAGATTGAGACTGTCTGAGAAGCTGAAAGCAATGCCATCAGCTGTTTCACCGGGTTTATCTCCTAGCAGGGTCAGCCAAGATAGAAGACTAAGATTCATCCACCCTATTCAGGAGGAATGGTCACATCAGCAGGAGAGAATGCATATCTCTAATGATGATGGGGGTGGAGAAACTCCTAAAGGACAGAGAATCTTTTACAGATAGCATAGTTACACTCAAGCTAACTCTTGTACTGCACATAAGAAGGAAATGGTAAACTATTTCTGAATTTTCTAACCTTTAAAACTGTATGATGAAACTGTCACAAAATGAAACAAGTGATAGTGCTTGAAGATGAAAGCCCCAGGTTGGAAGACACTGAACAAACAACAGGGGAAGAACAAGGGGCAAGTAGAAATACTGCTGTCACTAATGATGCCACTAGACCAAAGCTGAAAGGTAGTCTAGAAGCTGACATGCACAGACATAAAAGGAAAGTCTGATGCTGCACAACACATACAATTAGAACCAAGGCAAACTGGAAACTGTAATTCAGGAAATGGAACAGCTAAACATTGCAGTACTTGGTGTGAGTGAACTAGAGTGGGACATTTTCAATCAGACAAACACAATGTGTTTTATTCTAGAAATTTAGAAGAAACAGAATGGCTCTAATACTAAGACAAGATATACCACAGACAATAAGAGACTATGATGCAAACTCCGACCAAATAATATCAATCAGAATTTGTGAAAAATTCATCAACATAACCATCATTCAAATCTATTCTCCAACAACAGATGCTGAAGAAGAAGAAATAAAAAACATACATGTGGGTGTGCAAGATGAAATTGATCATACAGCAAAACAGGACATGCTTAATAATCTGAGGTGAGTGGAATGCAAAATTGGGAAACAAAGCAGAATCAAAGCAGTGGTAGGGGAATTTGGCCTAGGGCAGGGGTCGGCAACCCACGGTTCCGGAGCCTTGTACCTGACTCCCCAGGATCCTGACATAATAGAAATACCTATCAGCTTTCTCAGGGCATTCAGGATAGGCATGACTTCTCTAGGCTCCAGATAGGCATGACACGGCCAAACACTAGAATAATCAGCTGTCTCAGGGTATGCATGATAGGCTTAGCTCTCCTAAGCTCTAGCCCATTCAAATGCCTAGTAACTGCCTCAGAGAATTCCCTCAGAAAATGGAAAAAGCTTACCAAAGACGTAACGGGCAAAGATTGCTTAGAAGGTGTAAATTAAAAGATAAAACTTACTGCTAACCAAATCTGCTTCTGTATATCGCTTGCTCAACTGCTTATGTGATTCTGTAACTCCCCATTGTGGCCATTGTTCTCATTCTTGTCAAAACTGATGGTATTGTTCCCCATTTGCCGAAAGCGGATTGTGAAGGTATAAAGATCTCCTTCCAACTCTGTTCACCACCGCATTCTAACCATGAATGTTGGTCCCTGCTGCAGGAATAAATCTCCTCTTTACTTCACCATCCGGTCTCTGGTCTCGTCTGTAACACCGCGGGTACAACAGCACGTGGTTCTTGAACCCCTCTGCTGCGGCTCCGTCACTCAAAACATGCACCGGCACAGCCGCTGATCTGCTTGAAGCTCCACTCAGGAACGCAGCGCTAGCTAGTTAAGTAACTCAGCTAGTTAAGTAAATCACTACATTCCTCTGCTAAACAAGCTTCCTGCAGGCTCTCATGTTACACAAAAAGCTGCTGAAAGGATTACATGTCCCAATGTAATTTCCTTCGTCTGAATGTAAAAAGCTGCGCTTGGGACCTGTCACAATTCACAGCACTTGACTGTTTATCTGTTAATCAGTCACTAAACTCTCTAAATATCTCCAGCACAGCCTCTGATTTGTGGGCCTGCGCTGATTTACTGAGCAATGCCTCCCCCCGCCCCGCCCCCGTAGGCCAACCATGGATAAATCGAAGAAAAGTTTCTGAAGAAAACCAAACGTTTAATGATACGTGGGTAGATTCATTTGCTTTTACTGCTGACGAACTTATGGGGTTTGCTGTTTAATGCAAGAAGCCCTTTAGCACTGACTTTGACTCTTCAGGAAGCTGTTCTCCTATTCAAAATATATGAAGGAGTCCTATCAGTTTATAATGTAAGATTTAAAATAACAGTTTTTAGTGACTGAACAAGAGCTGCAGTTAAATCATAATGAAGATATACATAGCATTAAGGTAAAAAACGATATATGCAGTGTTATCTTCATTTTAGATGTCAAAAGGGTTTTTTTTTTCTTTTGTGTGGGAAACGGGTCCAAATGGCTTTTGAGTGTTAAAGGTTGCCGACTCCTGGCCTAGGGGTATGAAATGAAGCAGGAGAAAGACACAGAATTCTGTGAAGCCAACAATCTGATTATTGCAAATACATACTTTAAGCAGCCAATAAGACAATTGTATACATTGTACAATTGTACATATGGCCAATACTGGAGTCAAGAAGTCTGTGCATTGGAAGTAAGAGGTGGAGTGTATTCTCACTGCCAAAACAAGACAAGGGGCAGATTGCAGTAGTGACCACAAACCCTTAAAAAAGAACAGAGTAAAGCTGAAAAAGACAACAGAAACATAGTGCCAAAATATCTCAAATAACATCCCTGAGGAATTTAAAGTCCACATAATAAACAGATACACATTACTTAATTTAATTGCTGGTTAACCAGAAGAACAGTGGACTGAAATCTGAATCATTATTATTTTTAATCACAAAAATTTGAAACAAAGTGATGAAGAAAAACAAAGCAACAAAGAACAACAAAGATAGCGGCCGCCACCCCCCCTCCAAGCATAATCTGGGGCATCTCCCCCCCCCGCAAGACAGATCCAAAGAGCGT